AGAATAGTAGTGGCGGGAAAAATCTGAAAGAAAGAGAAAGAGAGAAAATGACTGGAAGAAAAAGAGCATGGAGTGAAGGTTCGTGTGAGGACGATGTGAGTGATGGTCAGCTTGCGAGGATGACGGAGCTGTACGAGGATGATTTTTTACATGATGTGAGCGACGAAGAGCTTCTTCGCATTGCCGATCAAGGACAGAGAGGTGCGGGTATACCCCTTTTTAATTTTGAAGTAGCTCCTATCGGGGAGCCACAAAAGTTTAAGAACACGCTGCTAAAAGAGTGTGTTCGAACGAAAAAAAAGCAAGTGCGGAAGGCAAGGGCGGGTGACAATCTGGGCCGTGAAATCACGGAGGCCGTGTCGCGGGTAGCTGAGCAAATTTTGGAAGATGCAGGGAGGCGATGGCCACGTGGGGTCCGGGGCGAGAGTAGTCTAGGGGGCCTTCCTGCCGAATCCCGCAGAGCCTGGGTCCGAGTGGCTCGGCCGAGGCAGATTTCACGCCAGTGTGAAAACAATGGGTCCGTACTCTTCTACGCATGCTCGGATCTCGATTTTACCGCCAAATTCGAATAGATCGAAACATTTCCTTTATTTTGGTATATAATTCGGCTTGCTTTCGAGTATTTTGGATGGGTCAAATCTCCGTTAAAGTTGGAGGACTTCTGGTGTTCCTATTATTCGCTTTCTGCGGATCCGTGAAGGCTGTGGGAGATGGATCGGAAGATCAAAATAATGGATTTGCGGGCCATCCGCCACCTTTCTTCGCATGCAGTATCAACAAGTAAGTTATTAATAAGAACTTAAAAATTAACTGTCTCCATTTTTTCCGGACACCAACTAATGAATTAAATTTTCATTGCTAATAGTCTCGCATATATGTTATCCCAGTCGTTTTATCCAACTTTCAGCTATTTCCTCTACACAATTGCCAAAGAGAATGAAGAGGGTAGTGGCGAGTCTGCCTTCGCTGCAATCGTGGAGAAGATCTTTCAAGAAACGGGCATTCGCGGTGTTGTTGTGAACAAGAGAATAATAAATGTCGTTCGGAAAAAGATTGGGTCGCTGTGTGCCGAACTCAAAAGAGTCAAGAAGAAAAGTGGAGGTTTCGGTGTCAAAAGAATCATAAACAAATGGCGTGACCAAAGTTATGAGGTGAAGATATTTTATCACGAACTTCACAAATACGTTATCGAAAAGGAGAATCAGGATTTACGAGGGAAGAAACGAACACTGGAAGAATCTTTAGCGAATGAAACAACTAAGCGACAGAAACTCGAGAAAAAACTCGGCGACACAGAGAGGAGCTGCAATTATCTGAAAAAAAGGTTTCAAAATCTTGTTAAAAAAGTTGAGAAGAAGAACAAGAAAGGAATTAGGGGCCCTGAAAAAAAGTCATTTGCTGAGTATTCAAAGCAGCACCAAAGCAGGATTAAAAATAAAATGAAAGAGGAATGTCAGGCCACTCTTACTTTCCTTGGATTGTACAATTTTATGGCCACCAAAGTTGAAGTGTTTAACACTGACACAGAACAGTATGACACTTTTAACTTAATTGATGAGGAACAAATGCAACAATCGGACACTGAGGGAAATGAAATAACTGACACCCAGGCTGATGACATCAACTACTGGATTAACATTAAGGACAAATTCAATATTTCCAATGATGCATGGCATGAAATGGCATTGAGATCTAAAACAATACCAAATACTTACAAGACAACTCGAAAGATAAATGAATTAAACCAGCAATGGAAAATAAGAGATACCCCTGGTCAAGCAGAAGGGGTGCAAATCAGCTTCAAAGAAAGCCTCAAGGAACAAATTGCCAACTTACAAAGGAAAGGAGATTTAGAAGGAGATACGATTGGGGTGAAGATAAGTGGAGATGGCACAAACATTGGAAAAAGACTTAAGCTAGTAAATGTAACATATACAATTTTAAATGAGAAAGAGGCTGCAATGAGTGAGAAGGGCAATTATGTTCTGGCTATACTCAAGACAAGTGAAAATTATGACAATCTGAAGGAAAGTCTCTCTGATTTAACACAAGAAATGTCGAAATTAAATAAGGTAACAGTTGAGGGTAAAACCTATAATGTTGAATACTTTCTCGGTGGGGATTGGAAGTTCCTGGCATGTGTCTGTGGGTTGGGGGCTGCTAACCAAGACTACGCCTGTATCTGGTGCAAATGCCCTCGCAACCAGAGACATGACATCCAAAGGGTATGGTCACTTTCTAACAGTGCTCAGGGTGCCAGATCACTGGAGGAAATTTCAAGCTTTGCCAAATCAAAAAAGTTTAATTGCAAAGCAACTCCATTATTTAATTTCATACCAATTGATCATGTCATTATTGATACCTTACATTTATTTCTCCGCATATCAGATAATTTAACAGAACTTTTAATCAGGGAATTAAGGAGAAAGGATGCTTGTGAGAAGATAACAACATTTCACAATGGTTTTTCTCGAGAGAAATTTAAACATATGGCAGCATATGAAACGTTTCTCAAAACCCTTGGCATTTCTTTTGAGTGGAGAATAAACAAAGACACAAAAAAACTGGACTATAGAGATCTCACGGGTCCTGAAAAACTAAAGGTCATGCAAAATATTCAGTTCTCTTCTCTTTTTCCTGGTTACAACAATTCAGAAAAGCTTCAGTTACTATGGGGTGGGTTCATGGACATCATTGGTGATTTAAAACTTGATTTTCCAACAGATCAGTCAATTGATCACCTTAAAGAAAAAATTGAGGGATGGTTTAAGATTTTCTTGTCTCTATACCAAGCCAAAGATATCACACCATATATGCATGCCCTATATTTTCATGTTCCTGAGTTTTTAAAGTTGTATAAAAACATTGCATATTTTAATCAGCAGGGTATGGAGAAATAAAATGATGTAGCTTCTAAGAATTACTTTAGATCCTCTAACCACAGAGGAATTGCTGCTTTGCGACAGCTTCTCTTAAAGAAATACAGAATTCAATTTTTGGAAGCAGCAGGGTATGAGAGGGTGAAACAGAATTACAAATGCAGTAACTGTTCCAGTCCAGGTCACACAATCAAGACCTGCACCAAGCAATGTAAACATTGTGATCACCGTACCTGCTGTGCACACCTTGTTAAGTGTGAAGGTAAATGGGTCCCAAAATGTTGTTCTGGTGCTTCATAGAGATACATTTTAAATGGTAGAGAAAAATCGATTCTCTGGTTACCTAGACGTATCACAGTTTTAAGTTACAATTTGAGGCTGTTGTTTATTTATAGATTACAGAAAACAAAATCACAACCTCCATGATTCCACAAAAACAGCGTTTTAAAACAAGTTTCATGAGATATAAAATAATGGAAAAATAATTTCGTTGCAGTGAAGCAGAAGATGAAAACATTTTGGGACTATCCGGGGTCAGAATAAAAACTGAAGCCTGCTTTACACAGTTTGGTACTCATAACACTTTCCCTTAGTATAAATACAATTTATATTAATTAATTATGACATTGTTTGTATTGTTATCTGCAGAATGATTAAAAAAAATATATAAACTATAAAGTGAGATTATGGATAAAAACAAGTCAGTTCCTCGTAGCATAATTATGCCTGTTTCCAACTCCTCTAACAAATGTAAATGTTAAATAAAAGTTGTTCTCTATTTCAGATTTGATGTACTTTCCCCCTTTTACCTTGAATTCTTGAATGGGATTCCTTCTAGCCAACCAGAAACGCACAGTTCCTTCAATAACAAATGCAAAGTCACCATTTTCGTTAAAAATACGTTCATCCCATTTGACTCCAAGCAAATGGTTTAATGTCTGATTAGAATCAATACTGTACACGACCTTGCCACGCTGTGTCTTTGCTTTTCCCGCCAATGCCAGTCCTCCATTAAATACATCTTGATCAATTCGAACTTCAACACGAGTGGACGGATCATCCTTCCTGCCAGAATATAGCTTCCTTTTTATTTCACGATATAGCTCCCCGTGAATCAATTCCAGGCGATCGTCAAGCGAAGAAGACGACGGACTGGAAAGAAGTTCCATCCGCTGGAAAAGATTGTTGTCTTTAGATTCACATGCCCGCCACTCGTCGTAGCGTTCACTGTAGCCAACGTAATGGATCTTAACTCGCTTTCCGACCTTGTCCACGTCTGTTACAACCACAGGATATAGTTTACGGTCGGTTGTTTTTACTCTTGTCTTTTTTCGGCAAAGCTTCGATGAAAAGACTTCTTCCGCGTATCGTTCTGGTGCTATGATCTCCCTCTTAACTCTCACTGCCGCCATCGCCGCCATCTAACCTCTTGCGCTTGCGCAATACCGAAAAATTTTGGCCGCGCCAGACTGGACACAAATTTAAGCAAATGTTCACGTTCGTGGGAGATAAGTTTGATATGATTTCCTACAAAAGCTATCCCTGCTAACGCTCTCGATATACACAGATTAGCTATGTATGTCCAGGTGTTATTCTCTATGTCAAAAGCCTCACAAGAGCTGTGTGACGAGTACAAATCATCTTGAGTTCCTCCTACTATGTAAAGATTTCTTCCGACAGCCACTCCGCATGCGTATGCTCTACGGGCCTGCATTGGCGTAGTCATGGTCCAGGTGTTTGTTCTGGGATCATATTTTTCAACCGTGCTCAGATACTTGAACGGGTCATTAGCATTGTTGTTTTCTGTTTTTCCACC